GAGAGAGAGAGAGAGAATTTTAATATTTATTTTTCAATTCTCGGCAGACACAACATCTTTGTTGGTATGTGGTGCTGAGGATCGAACCCGGGCCACACGCATGCCAGGCGAGCGCGCTACCGCTTGAGCCACATCCCCAGCCCCACTAATCCACATTTTCAACACTGCAAGCCAAATAAATCATGTCTCTGGAATGAGTTCTGCCTGCGAGCTGCCCATCAGTGACCTCTGTACTAAAGGGAATCTCTTTCCACATCCTTCCTCATCATTCAGATACCCACGGCACATTTCATCAAGCTAAATTCAACTTTCCAGTCAGGTCACAGCTTAAGTAAAACTTCCTCAGGGAAGAATTCCCAGCTCTTCCACCCAAACTAAGTTTGGTCCCTTACCTCTGTACATTTCCTCCATAATAATTATTGCAATTATAATTAAATAATTCCTTGTGTAATGCCCACAAAGCAGAAGGCAGACTGGGACTTCTCTGCATGCCCCTCTACCTACAAGCTTTGTGAGGGCAGAGATTATCTCAATTTTATTCATCACTTTTATCACCAGAGCCATGTAGTGGACCATCTTATAGTAGGGACTCAATAAATACATATTGAAAAGATAGAAAGCAAACAAGCTGAAGGGCTTGGAAATGAAGCAGCTAATAATGATAGTCCTGACTCTGTCTTCCTCACTCCATCTAGTCACTTTAGCTTCTTTGCTGGAACTCGTGTCCCCCCCCACCTGGAACAAGAGCTCCTCTAGGTCAGAGCTCAAATGTCCCCCTTATCAGTGAGGCCCTCTCTAACCACCATATTATAATAGCAACTCCCTTTCCTGGGGCTCCCTATCTCTCTTCCCAGCTTTATACTTTCTCTTACTCCTCAGCTCTTATCAGCAACTGCCATTCTATGTATTTTTCTTATTTGTTCATTGTCTCTCCTAACTGGAATGTCAACTTCATGAAGGCAAGAATTTGGGCCTGTTTTGCTCAGGGTATCCTCCACACTTAGTAGGATGTAAATAAATATTAAGTGGATGGATGAATTATACCCCCCATAAACTTTCTCTGCCTTTTCAAATGCTTAATTCCACTTGATTTCCATTAAAACACTGTGAAGTGGCCACCTGGGGCATAAGACAAATTCAACAGGAAAAAATAAAAGCCGAAGTCCATGCCAGTTTTATGTCTGGCCCAAGCTACAGAGATCCCAGGTTTCCCGGAGGGACGAGCTTTGGACTGGGGTGGGAAGACTCCATGACAATAGCTCTAACATGTCTCCTGACTGAGCCCAGGTCAGGAGTAGATGAACATGAAAGAACTGTCACCTGTGGATGCCCATATTCCCACCAGGGCCACATAACTCCATGTCCACAGGGCACCCTGAGGGGCCCCTTGTACTTAAGCCTGCTGAGCAAGCAGCACTGACATTTGTACTCACTAGGGAACTGGAAGGAAGCGTACCCAGTGCTTGCCCCAGGTGGCCACAGAACCAGACACTCATGCCAGATGAGCAGCACTCCGGACACCCAATTGCCCAAAAAGCAGAAGGCAGGCTGGGACTTCTCTGCACACCCCAAAACCTCCATCTCCTCAGCCAAGTTCTGTCGGCATCCCTTCTCCTATATTCCATACAGCAGCATGCCCTTCAAACTCGAATCACCAACAGTGTCATCTGGAAGGACAGATCGAGACTACAAGACTTTTTTGCCAGGTGGCATTTGGAAAAGGTCACCAAAGGAAGCCTGGCGTTTGACAATATTTCATTAGAAGCACCTTTGGTGTGAGACCAGGTTTCAAACCTTAGTGTGATTATTTGCTAGCTACTCCACCTGGGACAAGTTACTTAACCTCCCTGCATCAGTTTCTTCAACTATAAAATGGGAATAATAATGGTCCTGGGGAAAGAACCTAATAATACCTGTCATATAGTTCACACTTGGTAAATATTAGTTCTTCTCCCCACCCCACAACACTTTGAACCCAAACCTCTGCCAATGTCCAAGAGATGGAAAGACTAAAGTCATGAGTATATCCTTTCAGCCAGTCAGATGCTTGGTTCTATCAGTCCCTGTGTCCTTAGTTGTCAGTCCCCAGAGCTGCTGGGGATAGAACCCAGGCTGAGCAGGTTTCCCACCCCACCCCCACGACATTTTGTTTCAGCCTCTTTCCATTCACCAGTCCCCTGCCCTGTTCTTATCTCCAACCACCACTGACCCAGACCTCTGTTCCCAAAGGACCTGTTTCTGGCCATGTTCCCAGCCCCCTGGAAGCACATTTTAGCATCTGGCTCATACCCACAGAGGAAGGGGCAGACACTGTCCAGGGGAACATATCACCCTTCCAAGAACACTGTGTGACCCCACAAGGGAATAGCTTCAGAGATCTGTAACTGTCCAACCAACTGCAACAATCCTACCCTGGGCTCCACTGCAGGCACTGCCCATCCTGGAGAACTTGCTGGACTCCCAGCACTCCTGGCACCCAATGCCAAGCTTAGTATGGCAGGAAATACAGGAGGTCACTGTTCCAAGCCACAAAACTTCTCTATACGGTCCCTCAACCCTCCCTGTCCAAGAACCCATCACTATGAATACCTGGAACACAGACCACCTCCCTTACCAGCAATCAGAGCTTGACCCTTGCATCTCTGACCTCCTTTCTGAGTCTTGGACCCTTTTCTCCCACAGATCTGCTGCTCCTGGCATCACTAGCACCTACAAGTGGAGCTATGTCCCACTCAGCCCTCAGTCCCAGGCCCAGTGCCTCCCAGACCTCAAGTCCCTCCCAAATCCTGATGCTTCCATGAGACCAGAGTCTGAAGAAAGCCAAGGCCCAGCCCCAAGGATGGCTCTGCCCACTGCTTGGCTCAATCCTCTTCCTGGCCACCTCTCATCCGTCCCATCCCCAGGGGCCATCTGCCCCTGCCCTCCTTGGCAAAAGAAGGCTCCAGGGGTTTTAAAACAATTTCAGAAAGTTCATGGCAAAAAAAGCACCCAGGCGGGGCCCAACAGTGCCAGCACCACCCACCATGCTGAGACGTGGGCCTCAATTCCAGGCCTTTCCAGATGTAGAGAAGCCTCCCCAAGGCCTGTATCTGTAGGTTCAGCACTGCCTTTTCCTCCCTTTCCAGCTCTCCCTAAGGACTGCAAAGGGTTCCTACATCCAGCCCCAACCATACAACCCACCAGGGTCTTCCAGCTCACAGTGGGACTCTGGCAAGGAAGAGGAAGGTCTTAGGAAAGGGTCTCTCACCACCTAATTCCACCTCTGGCTTTTAGGTCGCCCCCACACCTCTAAGTTTGCTCTGAATACAGTTTACCTTCCCTGCAGCAGGCCTTGGGAGAAAGAGGAGAATGACACCACCCCTTTCATTCCAAGGGCTTGGGGTGAGGGCAGGGTGGGAGCCTACCACAGAGAGCCTCCCTCTCCCCTAAACACAATCACACTCTACCCTAAACTTAGAGACTCACCCCTCGGCTCTGCTGCCAAACCCCACAGGCCAGCCCCTCCCCCAGGACACGCTTCTCCCCCACTTTAGGACAAGCCTGGAAACTCCAGCGAGTGGAGGAAGGGAAGCGTGTGGCGGGGAGAGAGGGTGGGGACCCTCGGGCCGGGACCGAGGACTCCTTCATCCCCCATCTCCAGCACTTCTCTTTACCAGCCCCATGGCCTCGGGTCCCCCCACCCCAAATAGTCCAGACTACCCATCTCCGGAGTCGCTGCACCCACCAAAAAAAAAAA